CAGGGGGACAGCTTGAGGCTCTGTCTCAAAAAAAAAAAAAAGAAATAACAATGCAAACATAAATAGCTAGGATCCAACTCAGCTTCCCATCTTTGCTTTGAAAATCTAAAAAAACAACTTTTTAAAAAAAAATTTAAACATTATTCATTAAAATTCTATAATCAACCATATACTTTTTTCGTTTAAAAGATACACTTAACAGTATTTCTTTCACCTTAAATAATCCCCTTTATGTCTAAAATTTATTTTTAATTAAATTAAAAGAACTTTTCTAAATTAAGTTCTGAGAGTGACATGAAGGCACTTGGCGATTCCAAACAAGAGAGTGACAATGCCCTCAAGACACCTGGGTAGAATGCCATGAGGTCATCACAGTTCACAGCAACCTCAAACTCTTGGGCTCAAGCGATTCTCGTGCCTCACCCTCCCAAGCAGCTGGGACTACAGGCACCCACCACAATACCCAGCTAGTTTTTCTATTTTTAGGAGAGATGGAGTCTTGCTCTTGCTCAGGCTGGTCTCAAACCTCTGAGCTCAACCAATCCACCTGCCTCAGCCTCCCAGTGTGCTAAGATTACAGGCATGAGCCACCACACCCCGTCCTAATTTTTTTTCTATTTTTATAGTGATGGAGTCTCACTCTTGCTCAGACTGGTCTCAAACCCCTAAGCTCAACCAATCCACAGGCCTCAGCCTTCCAGAGTGTTAAGGTTACAGGTGTGAGCCACCATGCCCAGTGATAATTTTTTTCTCTATTTTTATAGAGACGGGGTCTCACTTTGCTCCAGCTAATCTCAAACTCCTGACCACAAGCAATCCTCCCACCTCTGCTGACCCTCCTCCATTAGCTGCCCATAGTGTTATGATTGCAGGAGTGAACCACTGGGCCTGGCCTAAAATTTACTTCCAATATCCTTCATTCTAACTTAAAAAGAAGGGTCCGCTCCTAGGCTTACTGATATAAGTCCTGAAGCTATGCTGTAATGTTTGTATTTAGTCAAGTTTATTCTCTCTCATACACTAAGCAGTCCCAAATGGCCAAAGGTGCCATGATAAATAGTAACTTTTCAATTTTAAATTGAATCCAAAACATGATGGAGATACAGAACTTGGTAGTGAGTTGTGTAAGGCACACCTCTTGGAGGTGGGACACAATTATAAGAGGGACTTTACCTAACAAATATAATCAGTATAACCTCTTTGTAACCTCAATGAATCCCCCCTCCCAAAAAAAAGACCTTGGTACATGAATGAGCCTAACCAACCAGCCAGCATCCTGATCTCAATGGAACACTCCCTACCAATTTCCAAACATAAAGTAGACCCTCTTTTTTATTTTTTATTTGCTGTTTGAGACAGAGTCTCAAGCTGTTGCCCTGGGTAGAGTGCCCATAGCATCATAGCTCACAACAACCCCAAACTCCTGGGCTCAAGCAATTCTCCCACCCCATCTCCCCAGGTAGCTGAGACCACAGGTGCCAGCCACAACACCTGCTCAGCCATTTTTTTCTTTGTTGTTGTTACAATTGTCATCGTTGCTCTAGCTGGCCTTGGCCAGGTGGGAACCCACGAGCCTCGGTGTATGTGGCCGGCACCCCACCCACTGAGCCACGATCCCCTAAAGCAGACCCTCTTTATTTGTGCTACTTATGTTCTGCACTATCACACACCCTACTGGGGGGCAGAGGGAGCCCTGAAGCAGGAGGATCGAATACTTGAGTCCAGGAGTTTGAGGTTGCAGTGAGCTATGATTACACCACTGCACTCTACTTGGAGGACAAAGCAAGACTGTTCCCCCTCAAAAAGCTTCGGATTAAGTTCTGAGTGTGATAAGAAGGCATTTGGGGATTGCAAACAAGAGAGTGACAACACCTTCCATTTATCTTTTAAGGGCATCCTGTATATCAAAGAGAAAACACAGCATGAGAGGTTATGAGGGAGACCACTCAGGCAGCTATTATAATAACCCGAACACTAACCGATAATGGCTTGGACTGGAGTAGTAACATGGAAAGTGGTAAAAAGTGGTCAGATTGTGGCTACAGGAAAACTAACAGCATTTGATGCCAGAATGAACAGAGATATGAAAGAAAGCAAGAAGTCAAGAGCAACTTGAGCAGCCACTGAGAAACTAGGTAAATGATATTGCCATTGACTAAGACAAGGAACCCTGAGCTAGAGCTATGTGCAAAGAAGAAAGAAATCAGCTTTACATACATCAAAGACAGAGTTAATGGGGCACTGAATGGAGTGTGTCCACTCAGATTCTGTGATCTAGCCTGCCAGTATTAGGAAGGTTATGGCAATAATTTACTATTTACTAGAGGTTAAAGAGGATTTTGTCAACTACCTTGGTTACAACATGTTTTTCTCTTAGAAAAAAAAGGGTTTCAAGATCAAATAAATTTCTTAAAAATAAATTAACTGCTGAAATATAATCCAATCATAAATTGAGAACTTCCAAAATAAGAACTGAATATGAAACATATACTTTTAAAGCTATTTTATTTACCACTAAATGGAGTAATCAACATTTTTATTACCTGTGAAGTTTCATTTCATTTTCTTGATATAGTTCAGTCATTACTTTAAGTTTCTGTTGAAGCTTCTGATTCTCACTCTCAAATTGTGCATTTTCTGATTGCAAAGATGCTTGTTCAGTCTGAAGATATTTAATATGCTCTATAGAAATTTTTAAAAGTCATAATTAAAGGAGTAAATATTTTGAAATGCACATTAACATTTCAGAAAAATAAAAATTTCTAGAAATAATAAATATTAATAAATGAAACTCCTCCCAACATTTTAATTATCTAAACACTTTACTTTTATTAGACACATAATTGTACATATTTGTACATAACTGTACAAAATGTATGGTCTGACATTTTGATGTACGTATACAATGTGTACTGATCAAATCAGAGTAAATCAGCATATCCATCCCCTCAAACACTTAGCATTTCTATGCAGTAGGAACATTCACAATCCTCTTTTCTAGCTATCTGAAAACATACAATCTTCACTGTTAACTACTGATCCCCTGTAGGGCTACAGAACATTCTAAGTCATTCCTCCTATCTAGCTGTAGTTTTGTGTCTACTAACTGTCTTCTCCTTATTCCCTCCACCTCCCGACTTCTCCTAGACTCTACTATTATTCCACTCTCTACTTGTATGACACCAACTTTTTAGATTCCACACATAAGTGAGAATGTGCAATATTTATCTTTCACTGCCCGGCTTATTTCACTTAACATAAACTCCACCAGGCTCATGCATGTTGCTATGAATGACAAGATTCCATTCTTTTTTATGTCTGAATAGTATTCTATGGTGTATGTTAGTAATTTAAAGTGCTCTAAAACTTTTTCTTCTATAAACTGTTTTAATTTTGTATTATTATTTGTAGGAATCTCAAAACTGTCAACATTCTAATTCTACCATCTCATTTTCGATCTAGGAGCCAGGAGTTCTCGGGAAGCTCCCGTGCAGCTAAGAGTGGCAGGTGAGGGCCTGGGCTAGGGGGAGCTGCTTGAGGTACTGGGACTGGGGAGGGGTCCCCATGCAGAGAGACATGGTGGAGGAGGTTTTAGAAACATGAATCCTTCACTCTTCCTGCCTGCCTTTTGCTTGGGCATAGCCTCAGCTGCTCCAAAACTTGATCAGAATTTAGATTCACAGTTATCCTAGTGGAAGAATATGCACAGGAGACTGTGTGGCACAAAAGAAGAATGGAGGAAAGCAGCGTGGAAGAAGAATGTGAAAATAACTGAACTGCACAATAGGGAATACAGCCAAGGACGGTATGGCTTCCCCAGGGCAATAAGCACCTTTGGTGAATGACCAGTGAAGAATTCAGGCAGGTGATAAATGGCTTCCAAAACCAGAAGCACATAGCCGGGCATTGTGGTGCACACCTGTAGTCTCAGCTACTCTGGAGGCTGAGGCAAGATGATCACTTGAACCCAAGATTTAGAAGCTGCTGTGAGCTATGACACCATGGAACTCTACCAAGCTCAATGGAATCAGACTCTGTCTCACAAAAACACCAAAAAACAAAACAGAAGCACAAAAGGAGGGGAAAGCATTTCAAGAGCCTGTTTCTTGAGGTCTCCCAATCTGTGGACTACAGACATACAGGCATGTGACTCCTGTGAAGAATCTGGGTCAGGAAGGTCCTTATTGAGCTTTTAGTTTGACTGGTGCTTTTGAAGGACAGATGTTCCAGAAACCTGGCAAACTTGTCTCACTGAATGAGCAGAACCTGGTGATTCTCGGCCCCAAGGCAATAACGGTTGCAACAGCGGCCTGATGGACCATGCATCTGAGTTTATTAAGGACAAAGGAGGCCAGCACTCTATCTTATCCATTTGTGGCAAGGGATGACACCTGTGAACACAAACCTGAGTATGACACTGGTTTTGTGGATGTCGCTGTTCCAGAGAAAGTTCTGAGGAGGGCAGTGGCTACTGGGAGGCCTGTCTCTCTTTCTACTGATGCAGGCCATGTGTCCTTCCAGTTCTACATATCAGGCATTTATTATAAACCAAACTATTTATCCAGCAAAGACCTGGATCATGGTGTCCTGGTGGTTGGCTATGACTTTAAAGGAGTAGATTTAAATAACAATAAATATGGGCTCATCAAAAACAGCTGGGATCCAGATTGAGGCTCAAATGGCTACATAAAAATAGCCAATGACAAAGACTGTGGAATTGCTGCAGCAGCCAGCTGTCTCACTATGTGTGAGGAGGGAGGACTTAAGATAACTTGTCTAAGGAATTTTATCTTAAAACTGGCTGAACCCTTGCCACAGGCACAGTGGCTCAGGCCTGCAGTCCCAGCACCATGGGAGGCCGAGGTGGTGGACTGCCTGAGCTCACCAGTTTGAGACCAGCCTGAGCCAGAGCAAGACCCTGTCTCTAAAAATAGCCAGATGTTGTGGCCAACACCTGTAGTCCCAGCTACTTGTGAGACTGAGGCAAGGTGATCACTTGAGTCCAGGAGTTTGAGGTTGCTGTGACAGAGGATGCCACAGCACTCTACCAAGGGCAACAAAGTGAGACACTGTCTCAAAACAGTATTATAAAAAACTGGCAGAACCCTGATTGTGTACTAAAAAAACTGAATCATCCCTATTATTTAAAAAAAAAAAACCTATACACTTAAATCTTTAATAATTTTTGTACTTCTATTTTAGCTATCTTCTTTCAAATTTTCCAAAACACTATAAATGACTACAAAAAAACCCCCAGAAACAGTTGAGAAGAAAGACTTCATCATCCCCTACAAACAGAAGATCAACTATAGAAATCTATTTGTCATGACCTATTAAAACAGACAGTTAGGGGCAGGCATAGTGCCTGTTATCCCAACACTTTGGGAGGCCAAGACAAGAGGATCACTTGAGGCGCAAAGATTCAAGACCAGCCTGGGTTGAACATAGTGAGACCCTATGTCTACAAACAATAATTAATGAGATTTTTCTTAAAAAGGAACTTAGATTTGAAAGAAGGGTACTAGCAGATATAGGGTCTCCAAGTATTAGTTTAAGAAAATAGTAAGTATTTGCCCAGAAATTACATAAAGGAATGGGGTAACTGGGGAGAACTTTCTACACACATTTTCACTGAAAGTCCGTTAATATACTAAAATACAGCTTCTTAAAAGCAAGCTTCATATCTTTTCCTTTGTGAATCTTCATGCCTTTTTAAACTGTGCTTTAAATATAGCAACTTTTCAGTTAATACTAATGTTTTTCAAAATCCAGTTATTAAAATTATAATCCAAATATCAAAATCATATGGTTAAGACCATGATAACTTTTTAATAACTTCATCGTCAGTGGTTCAACCTTTTAAGACAATGTTTTATTATAACTATGATTCATTTATTGTAGAAGTTTTTGAAAATGCCAAGTTAATTAAAAAAGAAAGTTAAAATCTACCCATAATCCCATGTTCAAAGACAATCATCACTGACATTTGAATGTCTTCCCAGTCTTTTTTGATGCAAATGTATATAGTGAATTTTCTTAGTTCTTTACAAAATGAGATGTTATTTATTCTAACCTTTAAAAATTTCAAACACAGGCTCGGTGCCTGTGGCTCAAGTGGCTAGGGTGCCAGCCACATACACCTAAGGTGGCAGGTTCGAATCTAGCCCGGGCCCGCCAAACAACAATGACAGCTGCAACCAAAAAATAGCCGGGCATTGTGGCGGGCGCCTGTGGTCCCAGCTACTTGGGAG